TCACCAACGCCCTGACCCCGCTCTGCAAGAGCCTCATGTATTTGGCCATGAAGAAGCAAGAAGAGGGAGAAAACGCGTCCCTTATCCGTTACGACCTGAACGGTGAGTGCTGGCCTCCCCCGCAGGCGCTGGGGTGCTCGAGCCTGGCACCCGTCTGCGAGCCGGGCAGTCGCTGGCCGGCTTCGTGGGCGCTCGGTGGGAGATGCTGCCTCATGCTTTTTTCCTTTCTGTTTGTAGCGAACCTGCCTTCGCCCTATGCTCTAACGACGAGGCTGCTGGTAAGTGGCCTGGAGGCAGAGCTCTCCCTTTCTCCAGTTACCGGCACACCCCAGGAAAGCATCCCTTCCCATCCTGTCCCAGCTGGACTAAGAGAAGCCTGCGCCGAGCCTGCCCCAGCAAACGGGCAGGGCGAATGTCCCCGTCACCTCGCTGCTCCCGGCAGAGGTGCCCGTATCCAGAACCGCCGTGCAGCCCCATCCCCTCCGCACGCAGCAGCGTCTCCGCGTAGGCGGTGGAAGCGCAGGCTCCCTCTTAGATACCCAGAGCCGCGTAAGCGGGGCGCGCTGCCCTGCGGATCCCCGGCTGTTCTTACAGGGCTCGGAAAACCTCGGCGCTGGGGAGGCTGGGGTTTGCTCCCCTCTGCCCGGGGATGAATCCGGGGTATGGAGGGATGTTCTCTGCTGACAGTATTTCTCTGTCAACAGCTGGAGCAAAAGGAGGAAGCTGTAGCTTTGTTGAGGCGTAGAGATCAGTCGCCTCCCAGTACTTCATTCCCGTGTTTATTGTTTCATGTTTTCTGACTCACAACCTGGAAACGCCTTTCTCTGCACTGACAGCCTTTGTTCTGTCCCCAAACTTTCAGGTTGTGTCTTCACAGCCGTACGTAGGAGACTGCCGGGGGATGGCTGCCCTGCGTCTGCTGAACGTATTGCATTGCAGCATCCACCCCGCGCTGGACCAGCTTTGGAGCAAGAAGGTCCCTCTCCTGGTGGAGCACATAGAAGGTAGGAAGGGGCTTCTGCTCCTGAGGAACTGCTGGAATCACCTTCTCCAAACTGGACTGCGTGTGCCCGGACACTCGGGGGTGTCTAAGAATGGGGTGGGGTACTGCCCACATGCCTGATGACCCTCAGTACACTGGGGCTCTCTGAAGAAGTGCCATTTCCGATTTTAATAAGGACTTTAATCACCTTGGTGCCACTAATTCCTACCGGGAGCGCCCTTGTGCCTCAAGCGGTTAGCCCCGCTGTGCCAAGCGCGCGCCGC